TCAGAAGTGAATTCAGACTTCAGACTTCAGCACCTCTTAAAAAACAAACGCCACCTAAATGTCATCTGAAATTTTAAGTGGTAAACGTATCACTTAATACCTCTTAATCTTAATCCGCCCTCTATCAAATGGTTCATATTTTTTGGGCCAGAAGAGATTTGTTAGCAAAAAGTATTTATCTTTTATATTTTTGTAAAAAAACTATTTATCTTTTATGTTTTTTTACCAGTTTGACCGATTCATATTTCAGACGTAAAAACAAACAATCTTACCGATCCAGATTTCAGACTTCAGGACCACCTCTTGTAAATCAGAAGTGAAATCAGACTTCAGACTTCAGCACCTTTTAAAAAACAAACGTCACCTAAATCTGAATTTTTTTTCTTTAAAGCTGTTTTAGAAAAAATAAAGAGTTCATACAAAATTAAAATAAACCAAACAAATTTAATATATTACATCTGAAAGCAAAATTTAAATGTAGGCACTATAAAAACCCTTGTAACAATAGATGTTCATCTGTGATAACTCCTAACATTCGAAGATTAATAGGTACACGTATGTTGGTTCGAATACTGATTTTAAAATTTGTGATGTGCACATATCTATCATCAATCTCAAAATATAAAACCCCTTTTGAGCATTTCCAACATATTCTTTAAGATAGGAAAATGTAATTTTTGTTCTATATTTTGTTCTAATAAATTCTCTCTCTATATATATATATATATATATATATATATATATAATTTTTGTAAAATAGTAGAGAAAGTTCAAAAAATAGAGAATTCTCTAAAATTGATCTGTGGAGAGGGAAATTAATTTTTCATTTATACTCATTAATGAGATTGAATTAGTATGTGACGTCTGGTTCGCAGATTCTGATGAGAATTGAAACTGTGAATTCCTTTAACTAAATTTTGTTTTCTTATTTGGTTTATTATTTTCTGTGGAAGGAATCTCTAAAATCCATCACATTCTGCGACCAAAGGAATTTAATATTATTTAGCAACTACATGATATTTTGATTGAATGAAATTCTCAGTTTAATACCAAATATGTCCTCAACCCAATATAACATAATCTCATAAAAAATACAAACCTACCCTAATCTGATAAACAAGAAGCCAACACCTCCAAACTTGATTTCTTCTGGATTCTCCATCGCACTCCATTGCAAACCAGATTTTGATCGCATAATCAGGTTCGATGTATCTCTGTTTGATTTCTTCTAGGCTCTCCATCGCACTCTCTGCTCAATTTCTCTCTGGTCGATATTCTTTGTGGTTGATTTCTATTTGATACCAGACTTCAACATAGCAGAAACCATCGCATAAACTAGGTCGGTTTTGCAATATGTACTCGATTTTCATAAATCTGTGATGGTCCTGCTATATGTACTGGATTTTGCTATATGTTCTACTATAGAGTTTGTTTTGTGTATAGAATTTGTGATAAATCTGTTTTCTCTGCTCGATTTTAAGTATAGAATCTGTTTTGTATATAAATCTATGAAAAATATTTGTATATAAATCTCTACAAATCTATTTTTTGAATGCATGTATTTACAATTTTGTTTCATGCTTACCTTTTTTTCATGTTAAATTTGGGTTTAACAAGTTGTTAGATAGTTGTTTTTGTTAGATGAATTATCCTTTCAAAATGATATTTTAGTCATTTACAATAATTTTATTTCAATTCCAAAATTACATCATGTGAGTCAAACTGACAGATTCCAATTCTTTTAACAAATTTCATTTTAATTCTGACAACCAAAAAGTTGGTCAAATCTGACAACATTTAATTCTAATTCATTTAAAGTAAAATTCAATTGAAAGATTCCATTTCATATCAAAATATTTTGCGAACCAAATGTTACCTTATTATTTTATATAATTTTTTATTGTAAAAATGTTTTAAAAGAATAATTTTATAAAATATATTAATAATAAAATGCTTGTTAAAATCTTTACCATAAAGAATTTGTGGAAATTACTAATATAGGGGTTACTTGTTTACCTTTTAATAGTTCCATTAAGAGACAACATTTGAATCATTAAGAGATGAATCTTGTTTGTAAAAAAAAATTTGTTTTTTAATGGTTTTAAAACTCTCTAATTGATTTTATATCCTGGATTTTCCTTAACTATTAAGAACTCTAATTTCATTATACATAATTACCAAATAATTATATTTTATTTTGCACTATATTATAAGAATTTCTTAATTATTTTGATTACTTAATCATTCTCAACAACAAATCATTCAACAATTACCAAACAGTCCCGACTCCTTTTAAATAGAAAAAGAAAAAAAAGTGTAATAGGTAAGATCACAAGGGATCCATATACGATAGAATATAGCCGTTACCATGATCCGATGCCACGTCTTTACAAGTTTCAAAACGCAGGGCACCACCGTCTTCACTTGACACACACCATTCACACCTACATCTTCACGCTATAATCACTTCTCCATAATCACTTTCTTCTTTCATACCTTGCCTGAAATTCAACTCAAACCCTTTCACCTTCCTTCAGGGTTTTCTTCTTTCTACATCGATTATCAAATTGGACTACAGGATTCGGAGATACTCAAAGGCGATCGGTACGCATCTATGGTTTTCCCCTTTCTTTTTGTGTTTGATTATCATTATTCATCTATTTCAACTTGTTTGATTTCTAAATTCGTATTGATGACTACGTGGAGTGTTCAATTTTACTGACTAGAACCACAATGTTTTATGATCTGACACCCAATTTGAAAGGTTTAGTGGTTAAAGATGATACGATTCGGAACCAATATAGCTAGGGTGTCCTGTACATACTATTAGGGTATGGAGTTTTGTGATTATAATAAACAATCGATCTTCTGCAGGTGAATAGACAAGCAACATCATGGCTTCAAGTTCCGAAATAGGGCTTGCAGCAGCCTTAAATATCCTCACTGCATTTGCATTCTTGGTTGCATTTGCCATACTTCGTATTCAGCCCTTCAACGATAGAGTATATTTTCCAAAATGGTATCTGAAGGGGTTAAGGAGCAACCCGCTTCAATCAGGCGCATTTGTGCAAAAGTTTGTTAACTTAGATTTCAGGTCATACATGAGATTTCTGAACTGGATGCCTGCTGCACTTCACATGCCAGAGCCTGAGCTTATTGATCATGCTGGATTAGACTCTGTTGTTTACTTGAGAATCTACTTAACAGGGTTTGTACTGTTCTTCATATTCGTTAGTCTTCAATTTCATCTTTGTCTTGGACACTTTATTGTTGTTAGAATCCCACATCGGCTACACTTGGACACTTTCGTTTCAATACGTGTTGGAATTCCCTTCTTTTCTCAAGGGTTCTTTTGGAGAGTAATATGGGTTCCACATATTTTCACAACTGTTACATAGGAACACTTTCAGAAGTTTCTTATATCATACATAAATGATGTTTAGTTTTCTTGATATGTTCTTGATTCTTTTTTCTCTTTTTCTACAAAACAGACTCAAAATTTTTGTCCCCATCGCATGCCTTGCTTTCACAGTCATGGTGCCCGTCAATTGGACTAATCGGACTTTGGAGCAGTCTAAATTAACATACACCGAGATAGACAAGCTTTCAATATCCAACATTCCAACTGGATCAAACAGGTACTTACTGCTTTGCATTTCATCTTTAGTATCTAAACCAAAATAAAAGAAACCCAGTATCAGGAAGTGGGATTGTTTTTTTTTTGGGGGGGGGGGGGTTGGGATGTATGCATACTTGACGTCTACCTCAAAGAGTAGAGCAGCTGTTTCTGTGAAAACCTCTGGCTAGTGCAAAGTGTGCAAAAGGAGAGGATAAAGCTTGCACCTAAAAAATTGTTGCATTTCATCTTTATTTATTTTCATTAGCACTTAATGGTTCTTTTCTCTTAGGTAGGTAATAGCGATAGGTTATGTCATATTTTGATTGTTAATACGATATATAAGGACCGCTGCTCTAAAGAGTATTACACCCTTCATTGTGAAATATCTCATTGAATCTTGTGTGTGAAGAATGGTTTAAAGTTGCTGCTTACTGATCATTGGAAGCATTCTCACCTTAATTTTGTTGGCTTTAATGTTGGAATATGTTTCACTTTCTTGTATCTAACCTTTCTCGGCATTAAACCTCAACATTAAATATTGGTTGCAGGTTTTTTACCCATATAGTCATGGCTTACGCCTTTACCTTTTGGACATGCTATGTTTTGAAAAGAGAGTATGAGATAATTGCATCAATGAGGCTGCATTTTATTGCATCAGAACAACGGCGGCCTGATCAATTTACTGTAAGATCACTGTTTTTGTTGAATGTAGTGTTAATAATTGAATATTGCTATGTTCTTATAACTCTGACTTGTTTTGCTTTGAAAGTCTTGATGCTGCAAAACTTTACTTCTATGGCTCAATTAGTATTCAAGGAAAATTTGTGCACACTAATGGCTACAAATAGGGAAAAAAACAGTTTTTAAAATGTAAAAGAGTTCATATAAATTCTTGAATTTGAAATATGATAGTTTTGTAGATATGAATCGTCAAAAACGATGAACGTGTGAAATCAAGTTTCTAACTTTGTTATGTGTGTTGAGTGTTTATCAATCATGATCTAAATGTTATAAATTGCCGTTGATACAAACTTTGTGCATTTGAGTTTCGCCTGTTGACATCCCGATTTCTTAGGTGCTCGTCAGAAATGTGCCGCCAGACCCTGATGAGTCAGTCAATGAACTTGTGGAGCACTTTTTTCTTGTCAACCATCCAGATCATTACTTATCTCATCAGGTTCCATCACCAATAATTCTATTGATATTTTTATTATGTAATATATTGTTTGTTAATTCTCGGATCCATGTTCAGCTGACTGAAAAATATGCTAAGGTATTGGGAACAAGTTCAGACATATAAAATGTTTATTATTCCCATTTCTTATACATACAAGTTCATTGCAGGTTGTTTATAATGCAAACTCACTCTCTAATATGGTAAATGAGAAGAAAAAGAAGCAGAATTGGCTTGATTACTATCAACTGAAGTATAATAGAAATAACCAGTCAAAAAGACCATCAATGAAGGTATTGCTTTATTTCATTTTAAGTCTGTATATTGCCAGCTTTGAAAGGCGGCCTACATCTTGCAAAATTTCAAAACAAAACTAAATCAAACTGACCCAGTATATCCCACTTGAGAAGTAGAGTCTAGGGGGTGAGATGTGCCAAAGGCGGACCTAGGAAAGATTCAAGTGGTAGCACCATTTGACTATAAGAAATGAAGCTATGGAATTTTTTTTGCAAAATCACGTCTGATAGCTAGTTCCTTGCTTTTGTATGTAGGTTCTGTGTTCTAGTCTTTTATCCCAATTTTTTTAGAAACATAATAAACCTAAAATAAAGCTAAGAACTAAGAAAATAATGCAAATGGGATTCGAACCCCCGCCTGGAATGGGAGAAAACACCATGTAAATCAACTCTACAAAGAGAAACTTGTGTTATTATTGTAGTTTTAAGGAATATACGGTTGCACCAAGCAAAATAATACAATGACACCTTTCATGACCCTAATTTTTTTTTTCACTATGACGGAGGAATGAAGCAGTGGCCCGTGCCACTGTATGCACCATAGTGTACACAGTCCTGCTCCAAAGAGTAGAGCGGCATCTTGCAAATTTTCATATTTCTCTAAGCATTTCTTAGGATTTTATTTTATTTTCTTCATGGAACAGACTGGTTTTCTTGGCCTGTATGGGAAGAGTGTGGATGCTATTGATTATTATAAAGATGAGATTGAGAAACTAATGAAAGAAGTAAGTGCCGAAACCAGATGTTCTCTATGTTGCGTGTACTTTTTGTTGTCATATCTAACTTTTTTGATACATTAATTGCCAGATATGTAAAGAGAGGGAAAAGATTACTAAGAGCTCCAAGTATGTTATGCCTGCCGCATTTGTATCATTTAAAACACGATGGGGGGCTGCCGTTTGTGCGCAAACTGAACAATCAAGAAACCCAACTATTTGGTTAACCGAGTGGGCTCCGGAGCCACGTGATGTCTATTGGGATAACCTTGCCATTCCATTTGTTTCACTCACAATTAGAAGACTTATAATTGCTGTGGCTTTTTTCTTCCTTACATTCTTCTTCGTGATTCCAATAGCATTTGTACAGTCACTTGCAAATATTGATGGAATAGTAAAAGCAGCTCCTTTCTTGCAGAGCTTTTTGGAAGTGTAAGTTAATTTTTTGTGATCGCAATGTTCAATATTTTTCTTTTTGTATTAATTATCGACGTAGATTTGTTTTTCATGCAGGAAATTTGTGAAGTCTTTCATCCAAGGTGTTCTTCCAGGAATTGCTTTGAAGATCTTCCTCATCCTTCTACCCTCAATTCTGATGATGATGTCTAAGTTTGAAGGATTCACCTCTATATCAGCCCTTGAGAGAAGATCTGCGACTAGATATTATATTTTTCAGTTTATCAATGTCTTTCTTGGGAGCATAATTACTGGGACTGCTTTTCAACAGCTAAATAACTTTATCCACCAGTCGGCTAACACGTAAGCTTTTCCTAACAAACACTGCTTATGGATCCTTCCATCTTGATATTTGATAAATAGTAAAAATAAAACCTGTGCGCACACACACACACACTCACACTCACACTCACACGCACAGATCTTGATAGAGTTTAGAAATCACGGGCCTGGGCAGGCGAATGGAGGTAGGTGGGAAGAAGAATCTTGGAAGGTTTTAGGGTTTTAATTTGACATGAGTAGTTTCGTGATTTACAAAATCTTGTCCCATCTTCCTGATTTCTGTTGGTAGGACTGAAAAAATGCATTTTTATCTCACTCATGTCGTAATGTCGTGTCAAATGTGGGACAAGTATTTGCACTATCCTGCCCGTCCTGGCCCACAATCCAAATGCATCTTAATAGTCATTGCCCAAATTTTGTTAGAAGTTACCCAAATGATGTCTAAAGACACCTTTTGTGTGTTGGAACCAAATCGCATGCTCAAGAGCACCATGGGTGGGGAGGGAGGGTAGGATGTATGCAAACCTTACTTGTATCTTGAAGAGTAGAGACACTATTTCCATAAAGACCCCTATAAACGTTGATATGCTTTTTCTATCTCATGTATATACATTTGTCTGTTTTGGTGCCAAATAACATGATTATTTATATCTCATACATCGTTCTTCTTCTATACCTACAGTATCCCGATGACAATTGGTGCATCTATACCGATGAAAGCAACCTTCTTTATAACTTATATCATGGTAGATGGATGGGCTGGAGTTGCCGGGGAGATTCTGAGGTTGAAACCACTAATATTCTATCATTTGAAGAATTTTTTCTTGGTGAAAACCGAAAAGGACAGGGAAGAAGCAATGAATCCTGGAAGCTTGTCTTTCAACACTGGTGAACCTCAAATCCAGCTTTATTTCTTGCTTGGCCTCGTTTATGCTGCCGTCACCCCGATTCTGCTTCCTTTTATAGTCGTATTCTTTGCCTTGGCTTATGCTGTATACCGTCATCAGGTAAGTGTCCCAAAATAAGTATACATATTTCTATTTTAGTTTATCTCAAAATAAGTGGCTACTTTGGAAGTTAAGTGCTTAATTCATTACTCCCTCTGTTATTAATAACCACATGGAGAAAAAAAGTTCTACTTTTTAGCCACCTCCAAATTTTTTCTTACAAAATAGCCAATAAACCGCAAGTTAACGATGCAAGGCACTTTTCTTTGTGGTTTGTGCCATTTTCTGATGCACCTAGATGAAAAGTGGGCCCACCGCAAAAATAAATTGAGACACCACAGCTTGTGGCACCGCAAGGACATGGGCCAACGCACAAAAAGCAAGCTAAAGACTCAGTATGCGGCACCACAAGGATATGCTGCAGCTTGTGGCACCGTAAGAAAAAGTATTTTGCGGCGTTGTCTTGCTGTTTCTTGGCTATTTTCTGTGGGGAAAAAATGGTGGCAATGATATAATTTTTTTTTATGAGGTTGCCATTTATATTGTCATTTAGTTACCTAAAAAAATGTAATAATTACACATTTCTAAAACCATGAGCTTTTTTTAGTGTGGACATTTATTTTGGGGTGGAGGGAGTGTTTACGAATTATATTATTTCTGTACTGACCGTTGTTTTCTGGTGTAGATTATAAATGTCTATAATCAGCAATACGAAAGTGCAGGAGCTTTCTGGCCGGATGTTCATGGCCGCATCATAACTGCACTGATTGTTTCGCAGCTGCTTTTGATGGGTCTGCTTAGCACGAAAGAAGCGGCTCAATCAACTCCGTTGCTTATTGCACTCCCGGTGCTGACGATATGGTTTCACCGATTTTGTAAAGGCCGGTTTGAACCAGCTTTCATTAGGTACCCTTTACAGGTGAGTTTACTTCTTATTTTGGCATAAATATTCGATGCATGGCAAATGAGCCTTTTAGGATGTGCAACCGTCATTGGATGTTCTAATACAGTACTTGATGGAACTTTAAGTTTATAAGACCAATATATAATGGTGTTACGATGAAGATAGGCAACCTATCAAGTTCTATCAACGAAGTTGGACAACCTAATAAGACATTTTATAAAAGGGTCATATAAAATTGTTTGCTTTTTGAGTCTTATTAGGTTACTATATTGACTATTTACTTTTTGAGTCTTATCTGTCCAACTTTATCGATAGAACTTGTTAGGTTGTATAATTTCGTCATAACAACTTATTGTAATGTCATTGTATATGATGCACAATTATTGATCCCATAAAAAAAAGCCTCCTACACGTCCTAAGAACCCCATTTATATACTTAGAAAAAGCAAAGGAGTCTCCGGGAAAGTTGTTTTACTTGAAATCTTGATAAAAACCGACACATCCGTAGTTCTTACCATATCGATCGAGAATGTTGTCCGCGTTATGCTACTAGTTCAACAAACTGTTGTTTTGTTTACGAATTATATATTATTTTCGTTTACAGGAAGCCATGATGAAGGACACGTTAGAACGCGCAAGGGAGCCATGTCTAGACGTAAAAGATTATTTACAAAACGCATATGTTCACCCGGTCTTCAATAACGAAGACCGATGGGATGGAAGTGATGATGGTGGAGTCGTAAGTGAGGATGATGAGTGGCCGAAAGAGCCGGCACTCGTCCCCACAAAGCGTCAATCGCGGATGAACACACCATCACAGAGCAAAAGGAGTGAGTCGTCACGAACCTTGTTGTCCGTTACAGATGAAAGATCATGTCCGTAAGACGGATACCGGTTTTGATGTGAGGGATTGAGATTGGGATTGAAATGAGGTCTCCTTTTGGTGTACATAGTTGTTGCTTGGGTAATGTGTTTGGTGTTTGCAGTTTGGGCCATCTTGTTCTTGATGGAAAACCCATTGTGCCAATGTCTGATATCATTAAGTGGTTAATAAGCAGCTTAATGAGCAATGTTCTTTGATAACATATGTTTTTTCTTACAAATTGAATGGTATTTTATGTAAAAGTTGTGTTTAGGATAAGAGACTTAAAAAGATATGGCTCTAATAAACATATAAAAACCTTGAATCTAAAGACAAAGTCTAACATGAGAGTTTTATTAAAGGTGTAATTGTTAGCAGCTTAATGAGCTTAATGAGATTTACAATTAATTCAATTCGTTATGAATGATTGTTTAGTAGTGGTTTAATGATGTAGAATGTAGCTTATTTAGTAAATTTTTAAGGAGGAGTTTTATGTTAAATATTTAGTAAACTTTTAAGGAGAAGTTTTATGTTAAATATTAAAATGAATAAACTATATAAGTTAAAAATAATGAATAATAGTGAAAAGGTATTTGTATTTAAAATTAAAAATAATATGCAAATAAATGGAGATAGTTTTTATTTATTTATTTAAAAGAAGGTTCCAAATATGGACGTTAAAAAGATTCCAGCGGTCAAACTTCCATTAAATCTGCGTTGTCATATTTTGGACATGGCAATCATTAGTTGTACACAACGCATCAATACTAGTACACCCTGGATCTAAATAACAACATCGACGTTTCCTTGGACTCTTCGTTTGTTTCTTCCACCGGTGGCTCCCACGCTCAGCCTTGCCGTCCGGTGGCCTCTCACCGCTGGATTCAAACTATAACATCAAACTTGAATCAATCGTTAATTTTTTGATCTGGGTTGTTGGAGAATTGTAGCAATTTCGAGTGTCAATCCGCAATCGATTCGAAAAAGTCAATGGATGAGGTGATCACCATAGCCGATGCGGCGTACCGCGCTAGTAAGGTTACGGGGACGGCGGCGATGCCTTCATCTTCAGTTCCGGTCCTCCCCTACAGTGTTCCGCTGTTATCAGCATTCCTTGCCTTCGCTATTGCGCAATTCCTCAAGGTCATCACCACCTGGTCAGTTCGGTCTTCATCGACTCCATACCCTAATCTATCTTTGCATCGAATTGAATTGTTTGAATCTTTCTACCTGATCGTTATATAATTCTGAAACTTGAAATCGTATCTGCCGCTGTTGAAATTGATGATTTGATCAAGTGTTTGATGCTTCGATTAGATTACGCTTCAAAAATCTGGGTAATAAGCAGAGGCATGGTAGCAAAAGCTGTAGTTTCACATATATTCTGAGTTACTCCACTTATTGCTTGTTGGTTTTGAGATGAACTGCAGAAATTTGGTAATTGAAATCAAGATCTAACAGCATTAGTTCTTTATATTGTGAATTTTTGTCAATATAGATCCCTTCTGATCATACAGCACTGTAGACTGTAGTTTCAGAAACATGTTAAACACCAGTACTTTACAAAAATACCCTTTAAGCGACAAGGAGATTAGCACTTTTAAGAATAACTGTGGGTGTTCAGACTAGCTTGCATGTACCTCGACTAATCTTATGGGGCGCTAAAGTTAACAGCCAAACAAACCCTTTAGTGGCCTTGAGGGAACTTGAACCAGTGACCTTTAGTGAGCATTGGTTTATCAGCATGTTTTCTGCTACACTTTTTCTGTTTTTGTAGACCCTTGGCATCTCCTCAATTTGATCTGCAAGTATTGACCTCTATACTGTATTTATCTTTTTTTAACTTGGGCTTTTCAAAATGGTTAAATTGGTAAAGCTGGGAACTGCGGGTAATCGCTGCATTTACTGACCTCTCCATCTGTCATTCTTAGAAGCTCAGGTATAAGGAAAAGAGATGGGATCCTAAAAAGATTATGGGCTCGGGTGGAATGCCATCATCTCATTCTTCAACTGTTGTGGCACTGGCAGTATCCATAGGTCTACATGAAGGGGTCGAAGCATCAACTTTCGCGATTGCTGTTGTCTTGGCTTTTATTGTATGTGTTTGTGTTTCTGAGATGTGGTTGTCTTTTTGCCAACTCATGAACTGTTTAGCTCCATGGCATACTTATTCTTGTGCTTTTTCTACAAGTGGTCTCATTCTTTATATGTTGAAAACGTATGCAGGTTATGTATGATGCGTCTGGAGTCAGACTCCATGCCGGACGCCAAGCTGAGGTATGAGGCTTTGTCACAAGCAATGGAGCTCTATTGTCTTTTCCTTTCTCAATCCTCATGTCTGTCCACAATTCTGCAGGTGCTGAACCAGATTGTCTGTGAATTTCCTCCGGAGCACCCGTTATCAACATCCAGACCTCTGCGTGATTCTCTTGGGCATACTCCGTTACAGGTTTCTTGGAGTCTACTTTCCAGTTTGTTGAAATTATGAGACTTTGTCTAAATCATGAGTACCATGTCATATTACATGTTATGGGGATCTTATTTTGGAACATACAGTTTCATAAAATGAACTCAACTGACAATGGAAGGGGAAATATCTAGTTTCATAACTCAAGCATCCATTTTTTGGTAACTGTGGGTGTTTGGCCTCCTTGTGCACGTCCTTGCTAATCCCATGAGCCCCGAAAGATAACAGCTTGGAAAATCCCCGATGGTCCAACCCAAATGGTTGACCTATGAGGATGCTAGTTGAGCTGGACCTCAAGGTAAGCTTAGAGTGTGTTTGGTACGCAGACGGGAGGTGGACGGGTGAAAGAATTGCACAAAGTTTTAGGGTCTTAATTTGACATGGGTAGTTTAGTAATTTATCAATCTTGTTTCAGTTTACTGATATTTGTTATTTTTGGTATCCTACTCAATCTTGTCTTATCTTGTCCCTGTCTAAATGTCGCATCAAACATGAGACAACTTGTTTTTGTCCTTGAAATAACGAAAGGCTTTTTAATTCGATGAACTGATTTGAATTTTCGCAGGTGGTTGCAGGGGCCATGTTGGGATGCATAGTCGCATTCGGGATTAAAGTGTCCGGCTAATTGATTGCATTGGCGAAAGGTAGATGATGCGAAGCATTCGGCTACTGGAATTGTTGTATTTATGATTGTTTACGATCTATCATGTACTTCGAAAGGTGGTTTCCTCGACCTCCTACAACTTCTGTAAAAAAAATGTCGCTTTTTTTTAATTGCCAATTTTACCCTATATAAAGTATATATATCAAAGTGTAAATCACACCTTCCACACCCTACTTTCAATTGAGACATACCGGTATAGTTTCGTTTACAGTATATACTAATCGTTTATTTGAAATATTTTAATTAAGTTAAAATAAAAATTATATATCATTTAAATAATTAGAATGTATATAATAGTTTATAAAGTAATTAATAAATATTGTAGTGGGGACCACTTTTGAAAGTGTAGGTGGATTTAGGGGCTCTTTGGCAGTTGCAGAATTATTTGGTGCAGAATGATTACGTGGTCAGAATGATTAACAGACTCTCATTATATAATGCAAAATGAAATATAATTATTTGATAATTGTTTACAATGAAATTAGAGCGCGTAATGGTTAAGGGATGCCCATAATACAAAATCATTCAGAGGGTTTTAGAACCATTAAGAGACAGACTTTTTTTTGTCAAATAAGATTTACCTCTTAACGATTCAGATACTGCATCTTAATAAAACTATTAACAGGTAAACAAACAACCCTTTAGTAATTTCTTTCATGACAATTATTTTCTAAGAGTTCTCTAAATTTAGATAAATTTCGCGCTCACTGACTTTCTCCATATTGGAGAAAGTTTTGGAGAATCTAATGCAACAAAAAACCAGCCAAAAAACTCTATTTTCTCCATTTTAAAGAATCTGTTAAATATGCTCTTAGTAAAACAATGATTTCTTGTGTTATGGGTGATATACATTCTTCGTAATCTTTTTATCTGTTCTTACAAAAACGATAATTACGATAAGTTTTGTAGATTTAATCTAAGAATATCTGTCGTCTTTTGCCTCTTCAAAGAAAAAATATCCAATTTGTTCTATAAGTTGTAATATTCTAACTGTTTTATATAACGGTATTAAATCAGCATTATCAAGATCAAGAAAAGACTCCTAGATTTATTTGGACATCAATATCAAGAGAAAGATCTTCATCATTCACAAATAGCTAGACAAACACATTTCTTGTTAAAGACAAACATTATTCAAATCAGATTAAGAAACGATTTCAAAACAAAGTATCGTGTCACATGTCATTATTCAACATGAAAGCACAAAGAAGTTCCGGAAAGGGTTTTAATCTCTACATCTATGCGAGCCGATTAATCCCAGGACGACCACTTGCTTTGCAGGTAGCCCGGAGTCATTGCATTTGAACCTCCGTGGCTACAAGATGATTTTTATTCCTACTTGGATTTGAACATGAGACCTACAGATACTTTTGACCTTTTAAGCCCAAAATCAAATCAATCAGACACCACCCTTATAGTTTGGGATATCAAATTTTGGTTGTATGGTTAGGAGATCTCTCGAGAAAATTGTTATCTCAACCTCTCGATGCTCAAAATCTGTACATCTTTAACTTATATTTCATTTTCACCTTCGATTATGTGTTAAATTGTAATTGTTATATGCTTATTATAGATCCAATTGAATTACAAGATCATTCTCAAGGTACCTTCATTATATTAACCCTTATAAATAATGGTATAATATAACCATAATAATATTAAATTATTTTATTTTATTGTGTTATAATTAGTTATTGTATTTTATTTATATTATTGTAGTTTTATTTTCTTAAGATTACGTTGAAAGAGAAATATTATTTAATATATTTCAACATGTAAAACTTTGAATTTTATGAATCTGAACGATACGTGATTTGTGGTTTACACACGAGTTGTATATCCAATATGTGCATAATACACAATATGTCCACACATATATAATATATATGTCTGGAGCATATTTGTGAGGTTTTCCCTGACTTTGTCCGTGTCAATAAACAATTCGAAATACCTCGACTTTTTAGGGTTGTGGGAAGGTATCTGATCGTGTTTTAGAGCTGATTCTAGGGTTTTCTTCCCCATTTTATCATCCTTTTCACTTCTCTCCTTTTTGGCGATTTTAGGCAACTTTGGGTCGATTTTGGAGCAAAATGGAAGGTTTACATGAGGATTAAAGATCATTTGGTGGATGGTTTCAAGATCTTGGTGAGGTAAGTTCTTGGGTATTTTGAGTTTCATTTCGGGGATATTTGTGGATCTAAAACTTGTGTTCATATTTGGTTATTTCTAGGTTGTGACCTAGATAAAGTTTCTAGACATGTTTGCTTGTGGATCTCAAATCTTCATCTTTCGAAGCTGCAAATGGGTTTGGAAACTAGGTTTAACCTAACTTAGCAAGATGAGTTTCAAGTTACTTTGGTGTCTATTTGCTTTTGTGCAGTTTTACATGTTTAATGAGTTTTGATAAAAACATGATTGGGTAAATGTTTGGAAAACACATATTATTTGACTCTCTTAAGTTATAAATCATGCGATTTGTGGTTGTCTGATGAGTTTGAAGTACAAACCAACGTTTGTATAATTTCTACAACTAATGGTTAATTACTTGACCCTTTTTGGGCATTTACATGTATATGGGCATAAAAAACATTTGGAAGATTCATACTTTGAAGCATTTGACATTTAAACCCATGGATTTGGGACTTTTGTCGATCTAAAACCATTTAAAATGTTGTGATTAAGAATTGTCCAACTTTTGAGTCGTTCACTACAATTAATGCTCATAATTGAGTTTCATGTGATATTTTAGTATTGTTAGCATGGTTTTGTGGAGTTTTAGAAATAATGGTGATTGTTCGGCATTATCACTCCTTTGGGTGCATTTGACTTCATAAACTTTATAAAAAGGCATATAATCGGGTTGTTCGAATATTTTGGGAACCCAAATCATGTTTTATTTATCATAGGATGATTATCCAATAATAACATAATGTTTTAGATGTATTTCTATTTTGGTACATGAAAATGCTTATTCATTGTTACTTGGACACTTTATGTATATATCTGCATAATTACTTGGAAATACATGTCATTTGGGTTTGTTTAATCTTCAAGCTTAAAATATGAAACATTGATTTTATTGCTTTAGAATCCATGTGCATGAGTATTGATGGTTTTTATTTCTTGAAATCACTGGTTTGAATCAAGTGAAAACTCTTATGGTTCTCATCTTGAAACCTTTGGTTATGTCAAGCAAAGAGTTTTGATGTTCTTGTCTTGAAGCCATTGGATCCGGTCAGGTGAGGAGTTTTGATATTCTCAACTTGACCCTTTAGTTGTAGCAAGTGAGGAATTTTGATATTGTCACTTGGACCCTCGGTTTGAATCAAGTGAGGAGTTATGATGTTCTCATCTCCCAACATTGGAGAGTAAGCACTAAGTTCGTTTGATGATCTCTAGGTGAAACTCGACAACATTGATTAGTGGTTTACTTTGTGTTCCGCCATATCTAATGAAAACAGGTCTTCCCCGTTATTGAAAGATGTTATTTGGTACTTTGAAAATAAAGTATTTTGGAAAGATGTCGTATTAGAATGCAAACATTCTTTCAGTTGTGAAAATTGCCATTTTAGAACAATCGTTCAATTTTATTGTTTTCTTATTGGCAATATAAAATGCTTGAACTCACTGGGCTTCAAGCCTAACACTTTTTCTTGTCGACATGTGCTTCAGGTAGGAGGCCGTACTAGCGACAGTTGAGAAGAGTTGAGTGTTAGTTAGATACTCGTGAAGGACTTAGCTTTTTCGATATCGTTTGGAGATAACTACTATTGGTTTTAGTAACTCATGCCCTTATCCTAGACCTAGTGAAAGGTTTGGTTTCTAATTTATTGATGTAAATCCTTAAATTGCCATTTTAGGTATTCGATTGTTATGACAAAAAAAATCATGTGACAATTTATAGTACTGATAATTATTTTATTATCGTACATGTTTTAACATCCAATGTGACATTTGATTTGTTGGAATCCGACTAAATTTAAAGGAATTGGAATGATCAATTCGATTAACCAAATCTCATTCATACATTTCGGTTATTCTTTAAGTTTTTTTTTTAATGAATTCAAGAAAAATTATTATGTTGTTTATATTTACTCCATCTCACCACGATGGTTATCACTTGTCACCGTCGTTAACACCACTACCACCACCACCGTCCTCTTCACCACAATCGCCTTCACCTCCTCACTGTTGTCGCTGCACACCACTGTCACTGTTGTAGCCACCACCACCACTACCATCCACATCCCCACCAATACCATTGTCGTCTTTGCACCGCCACCACACCACCATGACTACCACGATAGTGGTCACCACACCCACCACCATCATTGTCATCGTCCCCGCTTCCACTACTAATTAAAATCATCATTAATTTTATCATCTATACTGTATTATAAAACATTTGACAAAAACTCTTAAAAATCATTCTTTATGCATGAAGTACCGTGTATTAATTACAAAAAAATTATGCGTAAGTACAACTTAGTAAAGCTTCATTTTTGAATTCGTATAACTAAATGTAGATAAATATAATCAAATACATGATAAACATCTCATTTTTTATATAAAAAATCTAAGATATGATTAGGATAATCATTGAGTTCTAATAAAATCATTATCTTTATAAAATTTTATTGTTAAGCCAAAATAAATTACTTTATTAAATCATAAAAACATTATTTTTCTCAAAACCACATAAATCATATTATATCAATAAAGACAAAAATACATAATCAAACATAATTCCCAGAAATCAATGGCATCATATTTTATTTCAATTTCTACCGATAATGAGACACAAAAAAATAATGAGACATAATTCCCAAACACCTAACCTTACGAGATACGGCATATTGAATGAGTGAACGAATCATGATCACAACTCACGTGCACACGTGCCCCCAATTCGCTCCTTCTTTCTGTCTGATTCTGTCTGAAAAATCGATAACTCACGCCACCGTAACGCCGCCGCACAGTCGCCGTTGCCGTTTCCTCCCCACTCCATTTTCATCTTCAATCTTCGAAACCAGACATCTTTCGTCAACTTACTCTCTACCTACATTTCACTTGCACAAACGATCAGTGTCTTCAACTTCAACGTTCCTACCGGTTAGATTCGATTCCCATTGTTTCTGCAGTAGGAGAAGCTGGATTTCGCCAAGAGATTATGACGGCGAAGAAGAGATTTGTAGCTGTTGCTTCCAGACGCCAAATGCCGCCGTTTGTTTCTAAGTTTGTGATCTCATTGTTGATACTCTTTTGTTTCGTCGCCTTTCTCGGACTCTTCTCTCAATTAAAGCTTCAATCGTCGTCCGTACCGACCGGATTTTATTTTGATGACTTCCATCTCGAAGATTATCGTTTGAAGATTGCTTTCCTTTTTCTCGTTCGAGACAATCTTCCTCTTGATTTTCTTTGGCACAACTTCTTTAAGGTTCGTTTGTTTCCTTTTTTGTAATTTTACTACTTGTAGTTGATGTTTGAATTTAATTTCGCTTACAGAATGCTGATTGCGAACTTCTACTGCTATATATAATGAATCTATCTACCATTCAGAACTAACCATAATTAATTCCATCCTATGTTTTCTATTGCAGATTGATTGTTAGGTTTACTGTATATTTAAGACTACTGACTATTGACTTTTATGACGTGAGGCACGTATAGTTGTGGAATTTGAGTGCCTATGATTTTTCCCCAATTTTGGGATTTAGAGCTTACAAGGTAACGAAATGCAGATGACATGAACTCATAAGCTTCTTGCTGACAATGCTTGAAGATATTCTTAAATGTGTCTGGTAGATTTGATGGGTCACGCTGCAGTTAGTTCCTGAATAATGGAATTAATTTTCATGGGCTTATTGCTCTAGAATCGCTTTCTATATAATTTTGCCCTAATTTTGGCATGCACATTCTGTCATATATGGGAGCTCTTACAAAAAGCAAACCATATGAACTTCATATACGCATATAATAGTAATGCTTATAATTTTGTGCCGCTAATTAGGAAGATGATTTGAAAAGCTTGATTGAACATTTAAAGTTGATGAGCTTACAGAATGCAGATCCCGAGAATTTCACAATTTACATACACTCGAAGCCTGGTTTTGTGTTTAATGAGTCAGTTACCAGATCAGTGTTCTTCTACAACCGACAGTTGGAAAACAGTGTGGAGGTAACTGATCATCTAGACTGTGCTATGTTTGTTTGTAGTTAAACTCTCATGTTGGACAGTTATAGTAATATAGTTAAGATTATCAAATATATGTATCGAGGTATAAACTGTAATTTGACCTTATTCTATAGGTTGGTTGGGGTAAGCCAACTATGATTGAAGCAGAGAAGCTGCTGTTCAAGGCTGCCCTTAATGATCCAAGCAATCAGATATTTGTTCTCCTCTCTGACAGGTTTCTTTCACTGATAGCTTTTAAATCTGTGTCCTACATTGTCATGGTCAGCATAATATGTAGAAAATCTCTTTACTATAATCTCTATTATCTATCATCTTCTTTCATGTTTATCTTCCTCCCTGAACATCTGTCTGAATCATATTTGATGAAAAACGCTTGTATCATAAGTTGCTTTTCTTTTCAGCTGTGTACCACTATATGATTTCAGTTACATATACACATATCTCATGTCGTCTCCAAGAAGCTTCGTGGACAGGTACTTTTCCGTGTCAAGCCGAAATCTCAATTTATTTGATGAATGATTGGTTGTACATTTGTCGATGTAAATCTGTAATTGACTCATCGACCAAGTGAACTTGAGTATTCTTTGATTTTTATTCAGCTTCATTGATGTCAAGGAAAATCGCTATAATCCAGAGATGTCCCCTGACATACCTGAAGACAAATGGCGGAAAGGATCCCAGGTCATTTTCGTTTGTAGTATTTTTTCCCGGATTAGTTTTATTTATTTATTGAAACCATTGATTGAAATGATAAATCAGGATATTAAAAGTTTCTATGCTAGTGTTGAACTTGTCTCACATGTATAACTTTGTTTGTTAATAGACAAATTATATGACCAACAAAATGTTCTTTATGGTGGGCATAGTGCTTTTTTTTTTTTTGAAGTATATAATATTTATATACGGCAAATGCAACAAATAAACTCACACACCCTCCTCACCTATGGTGAGGTTTGAACCCCTGACCTCCTAGAAAGCCAAGGGCTACGATACCGCTAGGCCAAAGGCCCTTTGGTGGCATAGTGCTTCTTGTTGAAGTAGCATTTGTCCCATGTCGTTAGGTTGTCAAGATACATATATGGTAAATGGGGTTAGGTAGAACTCACTCCCCAGGTCCCACTCTGTCTCCACTAGATCTGTTCCCTGGAGTACCCTTTTGTTGAAGGTCATTCGAGCTTTTGCTAGGAGTATGGCATGGGTTACTTCTTGAGAGTATCAAAATGCAGTTATATGAGCATCGACTCAATTCATCCTATTTCATCAGATTAGGGATGTGATAAAAGCAGGCTTTTGTAGGCAATGTAGGAAGTGCATTTATTTGTTTGTATGGGCCCTGGCCTGCACAGCTAGGAAGTGTGTCGAAGTAATATTCGTCTGGTTGTCAACATACATATATGTATATATGTGGTTTGAACACCCTCCTTTGAGCTAGCTTTTGGGAGTGAGTTCTACCCAACTCCATTTATCACTTCCATAAGATCATGTCATGCCCATTCCACAACGATTTCAAAAAAGCTTGTTTTCTATCCTGATTTGCCATCATGATTAATAATCTTGAATCATAATGACACTTGTTTGCCATAACCAATTAAAAAAAAGCGTGGTTTGTTGATATCTAGTAACGGTTGTGGATAAATACCACAATTTAGAATTTATCGATTGGTTTGATTTCTGTAATGGTCAACAATCTTGATGAATCATTCCTCACTATCCTTGGGGTGCTTGTCTTAAAGAAAATAATGTTATGCCTCTCCATTCTGGGGGATTCCAATCATTCCATCTCTCTAAATGCTGATCAATGTGTCCTATAAAGATGGTTATACTCATCTAGCATTGTAATATGATAAAAATGCAATTTAAGAATTTATTTTTACTATAAACTCATGCATTGAGTTTTCTAGCTGTACTTGAGTTTAAACGATTGTATGATTTCAGTGGATCACATTGGTCAGAAGGCATGCGGAGATGGTTGCATATGATCATGTTGTTTTCCCGATCTTTGAGAAACACTGCAAGGTAGAGATGAACATACTTTTGAGGTTCTATTCTACTCTGTATGTTGACGGTTTAAATTTGCTTCTCATAGAATCAATAAAGTACGTCTGAATTAAACCTCATTGCCAGCCAACAGCAACGCAATAGTCATCAATTTACCAAAAGGGGTAGCTATGTGTGTAATTTTAGCTTTCTGAGAACATGTGCTGTGTTTCTGATTTTTATTTTCAATTACCATGTCTATTTATAATTTTTTTTTCCTCTTTAAAAAAATCAGCGGCGACCGCTTCTAGACTTGAGCAAGGGAAACGAGTCTCTTGTAAGTAAACAACAGTTACAATTTCGTTTCATGCACATATACTGAATTTTATTGTTACTGGTTATCGTAATTCTCTACTAAGTTGGCTAAATTAAATCCACCATTTCTTATTTTACTTTCTTATTATTAATTGCAGATAGAACAGCAGCAACACAATTGCATCCCAGATGAACATTATGTTCCCACCTTACTTTCAGTAAGCAGAATTGTGTTTTTTTGGCAATATTGTACATCCAATTATTTCACATGGGTTGGGTTGGCCGGTTTCAAGACGTTTGTACAACCGAACCCAACCAGTGCGGTTTGAAAAATCTCAACCTGTCAAGTTTTTGCACAACCCATCCCAACCCGTGCGGGCTGGGTTGGCGGGTTGTGACAGACGAGATTTGTTATTGGAGCACATCTGAGCGTAAAAGTTACAGCTCATCTCCAATTTCACTGATAACATATGACATTCATCAACATACTTACATAACCCTATTTGACCCATTACTTCAAGAGCACATTCACATCCATCTCCATCATGACTATCTAACAATTAAACCTTTTCATCAATGGCTGAAATCACATCTTTAATACCTGGGAAGTGGGAACAGTTGAACAGATAACAAATTGCAAATGCATATAACATATAAGAGGAATATAGGGCTCATCGGGTTGGGTTCAGATGAGTCTGATCAATACTTGTGGTTTGAAGATTTTACAACTAGATTAGGGCCATTAGGTATCGGGTGGCTTTGGGGCAAGGTTGGTCGGGATTTTGTGCTCCACTACTACTTTGAGTTATTTTTGTCATTGTGGATATATTGGATCCTTTGTATAACTAAACTTGTACTACCTTATTCCTATATCAGGAAGCTGAAACCTTGTACTTGATGCATCAAAATTATATAGCTTTGTCACCACTGATGTTAGTTTATTAATATCCTTGTTAAAAAGGTTTAATATAACTGTTAATCATTATCTGGAAATTTTCATAAATCGTATCAATTTTGAAGTTAATAGGTGGCCTTTTTAACATTTAACGTCCAAGTTTATCTGTTATTCTAGAATAGAGTGTAATATATGCATGCACAGTGATGGCTGTCGACCATTCACTGTTTGTACAAATTCAGGCCACTAGCAAAATCCTTGGCCCTGGCCACATGATTACCTCCAGCAAACACTCAGAACCACCATGAAGTGTCAACCCCTTCTAGTGAAGTATTTTTATGGGTTCCTGAATATCTAGAACAATATTCATAGCGTTTTAGTGATGCTAATTAAAGAAAAACTAACAATTGTTTTCTTACCCTTTTATGATAAGATGCGAGGTGTTGAAGATGAATTAGAGCGAAGAACATTAACCTATTCATTATGGAACCAGTCTACAGAAACGATGAATACACAAGCCTGGCATCCTGTAACATTTGGTTATGCAAGTGCCAGCCAGAAACATATACAAGATATCAAGGTAATCGATTGATACAAGTCATCAATTTGCTTAGAAACATGATTCGCTTCAAACTCTCTGTTCTTTATCTTATCATGAAAAACGCACACTTTCCTATCGGTATGAATTCACAGCTAGTGAGTGCATAATATTTACACAACCAATAAGCTGCTTTGGTTAGTTCCTATTGATGGATTTACTTGCAAATTTCTTGTTTAGCTTACTTACCACTAACCAGTAATGTGTTAACTTGCAAGTTGCAACGAAAATTTCACTTTTAATCTAATCCGTCTAGGGTTTTACTTTCAACCAATTCCAAGCAGTTGGTTTTTCTGGCTTTTCATTGTCAACGTTATAGTTGTGCTTTTTTAGTGTGGCACATCCTACGAACCACATGACAGCAAACCAAAGATACTAGTAGTACATTACTCTGCCCGTCCCAAAATAAATGTTCACGACGAAAAAGGTACACAAATTTAGAAATGTGTGATTGTTATACTTTTTAGTTAACTAAATGACAATTGTATTCTTAACAGTAGAGGGAGTAATGAATTTCTCCAGTCCATAATTAAGTGTAGAATTGGAAAGTAGACACTTACTTTTGAAAGGGCACACTTATTTTGGGACAAACTAAAAGAGAAATGTAGACCTTACTTTCGGAAGTGCCAATTTGCTCAGTGTTACATGCTCCAGGGTTGATCAACAAATCTTAGGCTTTATTACACGCTAGTTTACAACTGCGAACAACAGTAGGATTTGATGAAGGCTTGCACAATTGCATGATTTGGTTTCCAAACACCAGTGATTGAACAGACACGGTGTGCACTAGTGTAATGTCTTCTTGTATGAAGATTAAGAGCAAAAAAGACGAAGGGAATGTGCAGCAACTGATTAGCGATTAAAATGTTGTCTGATTTGTGAGTTTAGACCCCTATAGATAGGCCTAGGCTATAACTTTCTAACAGATAATAATATCATGATGCAACTAATCTCAATGGTAACAGAAAATAACCACGTTCTGCTAGCATTCGAGTAAATTCTGAATAACTCTCTAGTAGCAGATAGCACCGGAATCAAAGAAATATGCAGCTGAAACAAAAAAAAAAAAAAAAAAAAAAACCCCCACAAAACATGTATTATGTTAATTCTATAATTGAAGAATACTAGGTTTGAATATCCATAATCAGAATTCAGAAATGGACATTTTCTTTCTGAATAGAAGTACCGATAAAAGTTCTCTTTTCAAGTATATAATATTTATGAACGGCAAATTACACTCACACACTCTACTAACCTCTGGTGAGACTTGAACCCTTGACCTCTAAGAAGGTTGGGGTACTTGATGCCACCGGATCAATGACCCTTTGTTTATTGATTAAAGTTATGGTTCATCTATTTGGATCGTAGAGGTGTGTTTCGTGTCTGTATGTGCAATATAATCAATGGCAAGGGCATCGATGTATGATGTTCGATAGAGTGTTGCATCGGCTAGATTTGAACCATTTCTGTTCTATATATATGTTGGAACTTCCCTTCTCTCCTCAAGGGAAAAGAGAGTAATCTGATGAGGTTTCACATATTCTCTGATGATACAAGAGCCAAGATCTACCACTGTATGGACTCGACATGCAATCTTTACTATTCTAGCTCTAGCCCCATCTCCACACTTTGCGACAATCTGTACCCGTCTAGTTTCCATTGGAGGGTGGTGTTACCAAATCAGCTAAACTTTGACTATTTTTTCTCCATAAATGTCGGAGCCGTCCTCTTCTCAAGGGCTCTTTCGAAGATTAATATGGGGTTCCACATATCTTGCAATGCCATCCTAAAACTAAAATTTTGTATCTATTCTTTGATAATATTTGGTTCCCACATTGTGGTGAGTTTGTACTAAATATGAGAAATTGTGCAGGATATCGACCATATTTATTTCGAGTCTGAGAACCGGACCGAATGGTGTGGTACTAAATCTAGTAGTGGTTCTTGTTACTTATTTGCAAGGAAGTTCTCACGTGGTGCAGCTATGCGGCTTTTGACCAACGGGGTGGTTGGTCAGTATGATCCAAACACTTTGTTCCAAGACCTGACATAGATTCACTTCTTCGTTTTCTTCTACAGTCTTAGCATATGTATACTTTGAGCTACGTGATGTACATAGGCAGGCGATTGCAGATATATATACACCAAACATCCGTCTTTATGTGGGAGCAATGACTTATAATATCAACATTCTGTTGAAAGTTTCATTTGTTTGATAAAATTCAAATGACCATGCTGCCCTTCATATGATGTCGAAATTCCCAGCATGATCATCAAAGGGTCATTGGTTCAACAATATCTAACCTGGAGCATGGAGGTCAAAGGTTCATGTTTCACGTCTCACCAAAGGTTCATTTGCTTGATCAAATGACCATGTCTTCATTTGACATCCAAACTACCGACATAACCTTAACAATATCGAACATGATCTCCGTCGTCGAGCCATTTGATTGGTGGTGGCGAATGTCTCCAAAACCAACTATGCCTCTCATTTGCTTTCTACAGGGTTTGTTCAACGTTCAAGAGTCAAAATAAGATAATTAGTTGCAATAAAATTATGTAAGTCAATCACAATAATTATGGCGTAGTGGTTGAGGCTCTAGGGATGTAGTGGAATATTTCATCTAATCAGAGTTTGATACAACAATTATGACCACTAAGTTTATTTGGTTGATTTTTACAGTCATAATTTATCGGAATTAGTCCCGGCATAGCCTAGTAAACCATTAAAAAAAAAGTAATGCAAGTCAAGGTGAGTTGGGTAATTTATGGATTGTTTTTAAAAATAAGTTTTTATTTTAATTTCTTATGAGTTATCAAATCTGATTAATTTTGGCTTAAAGAAAATCAAGAAATCATCAAAATGAATTTGTGAAAACATTATAAAATTGATTATATGTTTATAACTAGTCCTGATTTAATTAACTAATACATAACACTTTCTTTGATATTATCGGTTACTACAATATGGAATTGATCATAAGATACCAAAGTGTCCAAACACCCCAAATCTTGTCCAACTTCCTTCTACCTTACTGCGCTAGTCACAGGTCTTCAAACCTAGTTTGTTATCTTAACCATTTGCTTACAAGTACTTTTATCAGAGGTCATGTTCTCAGAAATGTCTAAAACTGACATGTCTAACCTCAATTGCCTCCTCACCCTCCTCTATTGTCACTCTTTATACTCTCCTCGTTGGTGCAATCACCGCTCTCTTACGGACATGTCTAAACCAACACAATTTCCCTTCTCTCAATTTACCATTATGGGAATTCAGTCTAAAAAACCTCATTCGAGATTATGTATGACCACATGTACACCTAAGCATCCTCATTTTTCCCACGTCCTCTAAAAGACATTCCTTGCGACCCAATTTTGATTTCTACAATATAGTTGGTTTAATGACTATCCTATGAAATTTGACCGGAAAAATAAATAAAAATATATAATTTTTTAAATGTAAAATATATTTTTTTTGGGCTCGATAGCTGAAAAAATAAATAAAAATAAAAATAAATTAGACCGTTAAAAAGAATAAACTGGACCAACGTATCTTCTCCAAATTCAAACCGAAAGGAGGGAAAGGAACCGCCTTTCTGCGTTTCTTTACCCCAACAAGAAACCCTAATTGTTCCACCCTCTTGGTCCCCGTAACCTGAATTTTCTGTAGGTTACTGCAAGATATCAACAATCTTGAAGCCTCTAAAGGTTCAATTCGGTGTAATCTTGAAGGTTCAACGAACTTAGTCAAAGAATGGCTGAAACCCTAAGCCCTACTCCTACAGCCGGTCAGAAACAGAGAGCGCCGGTCCTGTCTCCGGAACGACCTTTATTTTTGGGCTCCAACGATGATCAACTCGAGCGTGCTCAAGCACGTGCGGCCCGTGCTGCAGCCATCCGTCGGAAGCCGGTTGCTCTTCATCAAGCAAGCGATGTTAGTCCTGCAGAGCCTTGTCTCGGACAGGAGCAGATTATGGAATTGTTCCAGAATTGCATCAAACTGGCCAGTGAAAATGTATGTAATACTCTTCTGAAAATGTACCTTGTAAAGGCATGAGATGACTTCATTTTTGTGGGGTGCAGAAAATTAATCAGAAGAACACTTGGGAGTTGAATCTCATAGATCACCTTTGCGATATTATTAAGGTCGAAGAAGAGAATGACGTCGAGACCAATTTTCAGAAGGTACATAACAAAATCTATGCTCCATGTTACCGTTTATTGAATTAATTTTTATTTATAGAGTAATGTCATGAATTATTTGTAGTTTCTTTTTAATCTTAACAATTCTTAAGTAGCTTGGGCTTGTGTGCAACATTTTCGATCTTTTGGTTCATTGAAAAAGGTCAAAAATCTGGGAACTAATGAATCTTGCTTGAGTACCTTGAACATCTTAACTCTTTCTTCACAAGAAGCATTTGAGTATGCATCTCTAATGTCACCACACCGGTGATAGGCCAAGTGTGTATTGGCGGCCTACATGTTAGTTGTTTTTGTCATTCCACTATTCAGTCATTCAGAGTCAAGGATGCCATGCATGGGGCCTGTGGGAAAAAATGCATCTGATAACTTTTCATATTCTGGTTGAGCCTTCTTAATTACCCATGTGTCTGAGGGTGATAAGCTGATGTCTTCATGGAACTATGCTGTTGGGGATTCCATGCAACTTGTGAATGTGAGATACAAACAATTCTGCTACTTTCTTGGCCGTGTAGGGGCATTTTAAGGGGAATGAAGTATCAGTGCTTGGATAAGCTTTGCATCACCACCATACTATGATAGAACCCTCCAGATTTTGGTAACTCTTGAAGAGAATTCATTGCAACTTCCGTCCATTGAATCTAAGGTGCATGCAAGGTTGTGACATGCTTCTTGGGTTGTGATTCTAATGCTTGTGTATTTGACAAGTTTGCACCATCTATCTCATTTCTTTTCAACAGAAAACCACCTTTATCCTTTGCACTGGTACCCCTGCTTCCAGCATGTTCCCCTAATGGTAATGGGTGGAACGCCTCTAACAGCCTCAACTCAGTTGCTCATCTGGTGCAACGACCAATCTTCTTTTGTATTTCAAATCTACCTTGTGCATAGGAGCAACCTGGTGTTTGTGGCATGGCGTCTAACAACGTAGTAATTACCTCCTTTAGTGATTCACTTTGCTCCCAATTAAGAGAGTTTCTCTATCCAAGTAGGGACAACCACAATGAGCATTACACTTCTTTTTATGGATAGAGTGTCAACCACAATATTCTCTTTGATTTCTATAGAGTATCACATAGCCGTACCCCTTGAATGTTGTACTCCACTTCTGCTGGTTGGAATTGTTAATTCATTGATTTTACAAGTACTTTAACCTTTTGAGGACAATTTCAATTTTGACTTTGTTGCCATACAACTAATGTCTTAATTTCTCCATTACATATGCTAGTGCCATTGGCTCTTTCTCACAAGTTTAATATCTAGGTGTTTATGGGAAAGGACTTTACTGATGAGAGCTATAGGTCTTCTATTTATTGATAACATTGCACCTTTGTTATAACGAGTTGAATAAGTTTCCAGAGTAAATGCCCTGGTGAAGTTTGGCCAAACTAAAACAGGGGCCTACATCGTGGCTGGTTAAAGGCTTCTAAAAGTGTCCTTAGCCTTGTCATTATATACTGAGACATCTATTTTCATGGCTCTATTGATGGCTAGTTGATTATCCTGTATTTTCTTATGAACCTTCTGTAGTACCCTATGAGTCCTAAAAAGCCTGTAAGATTTTTGAAAGGGAAAGAATTGGCCAATCAAGCATGTTGAATTTTATCTGGATCAATAGCTATTATCTTCTTTGATGTTTCATGACTGTTGTATTCAATCTTCTCGGTTGCAAACTAGCATTTTTTCTTTGTGACATGCAATTGGTTAACCTTCAATATATTCATTCTTATTCTAATGAAGTATATAAATCTCCTTAAGTAAGATCGGAAAACCTTATTCATGAGTGCTTGGAATCAGGGGGATAAGTGAGTCCAAATGACATGGCACTAAATTCAAACAATCTAGTGTGTGTTCTAAGTGTAGCTTTCTATTGGGTCTTAACAGTTCACCTTCTAAGCGTTAGAATTATCCGGTAGTACCTATCTTTGCCCCTGTGATGCATCATTTCCCCTCCTTATCAGAGCTGTACCCTTAAAGATCAAAAGTTGGGAGCTTTTGACATAAAAAACTCCAGTCCCTGTACGTTAGTTCATGACCAAGGTTCTAAATGATGTGAGGCATGGCGTGGAGGTGAGGTCAAGCCTCAAGCCTCTATTTTCGGAAGGGTGTCCCAGGCTATGCCTAGACTAATCCCGGCAAATTGCGACTGCAAGAAATCAAACAAATGTTTAACATTACAACAATTTCAATAAAAAATTGCTTATCTGTTCCAGTTGTTTATTGTCTCCTAACTTAAAAGGCAAAGCAACATGAAAGATAGGATGAACCTTGCCTGTTGGGGGTAGTTTCCGAGTATAAGCCACTATCTGTCCTTCAGATTTCTAAGACTCAAATAATAAGGTGATAACTTTGATTGCATTTGCCATGCATGTAATGTTGGAGATACGACTATAAACACAAACAAATCCATTTCCCTACTTGAAGAACATCTTCTTCACTTGGATTCCTCATAAGATTTCTCATACTGCTTCATTCGGTTCTGAGCACAAGCTCTTAGCAACGGTTTGTGGTTGGTAGAATTTGCTTATCTCCCAATCAAGCTAACACTCCACTAGAATTATTCATGCAAGATCCCTAAGTTGGAGTAGACAAGGGTCCTCTGATGGGGCTCTTCTTCCTGCACTGCTTGTAAGCGCTCATTGGTCCTGAAGTCCAACTTCTGTTTGAGATTGTGCGGTTGCAATTATGTCTTAGCGTTGTTTGTCACGACTTCTGACTCGATCTTCACTGTAGCAGCATCCGAGGCTTGTATTTGCACCCCCAATTGCCTCATAAGGCCAAGCTTCTTACCAGGTTCTTCCATGCACTTTGATACCAATTGTTGTTAGTTGGAGTAATTTAGAATACAACTCACATCCAATCACTGGACTATGGTCATTAATGGTGAAGTATAGAGTAGAACATTGGAATTTAGAGAACATGAGGTGGGAGAGATTAATTACTTTTTCTTTGATTGACCAAATTGTAAATAAATTATTACAGAGGATATTTATGCAATGACCATGTGGCGGCTAAGCCTCTCTCTTGTAACATCAGATGCTTGTTTTCGCACTAGCCAAATAAGGACGGACTACTAGCTACTAGCTGTAAAGGAAAGGACAAGGCCACCTGCCCTGCAACAAAGTCAAGTGGTAACGAGCAAGAAAACGGATGCGCTAACGTGCAACGGCTTTCTAAAACCGCTACATTTCTTGAACAATCGCTGTCTACATTACTCTTAGAAGCCCTGGCTAACTCCGTGCCAGCAGCAGCGGTTAGACGGGGGTTGTGAAAGTAATAGCCTTATGTTATGGCTGCCCCCTGGAAACATGACGTTGCTGCATTGGTCACACGCAAATTGCATTTGCCATATTCACAATTCGTTAAATTACATGGGAAGTACAAGGATCACCGACACTGTGACCTCAATGGATTTTCAAGTTTTCTCTTAAATGTGCGACGCCGAATCCAATGTTGTGTCATATTGTTACATATCCATATAATTTTCATTTTTTGCAGTTGAGCCAGTCAAAATCTGGGAACAGCTTGTATTTGTTTATGGACTTCTATCGTCTAGTCAGAAGCATCAAAACCTGTTTAATAAACACCTTTGCTTCTGAAGTCTTCCTTGTTGCTGTGTGTTTATTTTTCTTGCACAGTCCCTGGACACAGTTTATACCACTGTAATAAATAAAAAAAGTTGATTTAAGTCACTGTATGTTACCCAAAGCAATTGCCCTGTAAGTTAATTAGGTTGTTACTTTTATGGATATTTTCTTAGATGATATGTAAGATGTATGTTCCCTTTTTGAGACTGCAGCAGAGCCACAACGGAATTTCATTCTTTGATTTAAACAGTTATTTCTCTATTAGTTTATATGAAGTTCATACTCTTTGCTGCTTACAGTTCTGATGTTTTTCTCTGTCAAGTATGAGCTATTTTCCACTCACTTCCTCAAAATGGTACATCTTTGATGATTTTTCTGCACAAATATCAGAAAGGGCATGCCATCAATGCATGTGTAATTGTCATCAGCAATTTTTGTAGGTTTTTTGAGTGCATGAGAATGAACATCACATGGAAACAACTTTTTGCCCTGTGCTGGGTATTTGATAATATAATCTTGAAGCTTTTCTGACTTCAGGCAAGCTGCACTCTTGAAGCGGGAGTTAGAATATACTCGATGAGGGTGGATTCTGTCCATTCTGAGGCATATAAGGTTCTTGGAGGAATTAGTCGAGTTGCACAGGAACCTGAGCAAGGTCAGCTTTGTTATCTTAGCTTATTTGTTCAAGGAGGTTCTTTTATTACGGTGTCATGATTGTTGTCTGTTCTTGATGCAAGTTCTTTTTGTATGGTTTGTAGCCATGCAGTGCATTTTCAGCCTAAACAAAAGGAAATGCTTTTTTTTTGTTGTTGAATTATTGAATGTTAACTAGTTTGAAGTTTAGTTTATAACCTCATGGTTTGGTTGGTTACTAATTTGACGTATGAATGTATGATAGAAACAAGTGAACAGGTTTGCATCATCAATACGACTTCTCATCAAAGAATCCACTCTGGGAAACTTCTCGAAGCACCTGTGGTTTCCCTTTAAAGGAAACTATTAATGATTGGACTTAACTAATACATTGTCTTTGACTTCCTCTGTAGATATCATTGCTGTTTCTCTATTCACAATGCATATTATATATAATATATATTCACTTGACTTATCTTAAATATAATGTGTAAAACACTACTTTTTGCCAAACTTTTTCTTGATATGAGATCAAAACTTAATACTTCTTTTATCCTTCCCAGTCGTTCATATGTTTATCAACTCTAGTACCAGGAGTCACTCATTTGAACTTAATATAATGATATGTTTAATTATTTATAGTTTGGTCATGACGTAATAACCGACTTGGAAACATCTGTTAAAACAGACAGTGTAGAGGATGGCAACATGGACATGCAAGGAGAAGGCGATTCAAAGAAGCAGAAGGAGCTAAAGGTTTTTCATTATCTCATTTATGCTGTTGCTTGTTTGCTGGAGTTGAACTAATTAATTATGATATGTGCAGTTATCTCCTTTATCAACACTGGAATCATCCTTTGAGGCTCTTAATGTGAAGAAGTTTGATGGTAGGAATGCAACCTGTGTGTATTTTATTTTAATATCACCCAATAGTCTTTTTAAGTAATTTTCTTCATTCTCTAGTTGCATTTGCTGTGGATCCTCTCTATCATCAGACAACTGCCCAGTTCGATGAAGGTGGATCAAAAGGTCTCTTGCTAAATAACCTTGGAGTATACGGTGGATGCGTAATGATTTTTGATTCACTTGAAGTACCTGGGAAGTGCATGTCATGCTCAAGTGGGCATGATAAAGTAGATACAATTGATATTGCCTATGCCAGAGGTTCGTTTCTTACAGATATATGAGGTTCCTGCTTGAAAGTTACACTTTTCTGAACTGTTCACTTTTTTTGTAGATCATATAGAACAAATGGTATCAAACATCTCAAAGAAACTTGAAATCTCACCAAGTCTCAAGGATATAGTTAATCTGTTTGATGAAGATAATAGAAGACCAGCAGATACCTTTTCTTCTTCCCAAAAGTCCGTTGAACCTGATCATGAAGCTTATGGCGATGACTTCGATGGTGGTGGACATGACTGTTCAGGAACCTGGGACTTCATTAACGACAACCAGACAAGCCTCAATGGTGAGGACACATATGAGGGAGATGAGGAACCGGTTCATCATCAGGTGCTTGATCACGGAAGTCTTGCAGTGTTATTTTTAATTTAGTTTGGGAGAAAAGAAAGGAGCCAACTGATTTGTAGCTTGTTTGCAGGAAAACGAACTGTATGTTTCTCATGATGGTGATGTAGATGACAGATTTGCGACAGTTGACAGCTTCCTGTTTCTAAGTATTGGTTTAACTGGAAAACAAAATGCATGGGCAGGCCCTGATCATTGGAAGTATCGAAAGACTAAAGGTAGCTTTCATGGGTGGAACTGAAACTACTCATCTAATACTTTACACCCATTTTTCATGATTTTGGTTTTTTCTTGTCTTGTATGTGCAATCTGTTTTTCAGGTCCAGAAGATCCTGCCAAGGAAAATGGATCACCATTAATACCGAAAAAACAAAGGAATAAGAAACAAGCTGAATTTGATATAGAATTTACGAAAGCGTTGGATTTGGTCAGTGATGTGGATAATATCTTTGCTCTTCCTAAATACCCCAAGTCACTATTGTTGCCAGCAAATAGAGAACCTTGTAACACAACACTTCCAGAAGATTGCCATTATCAACCAGAAAATCTTGTCAAGCTATTTCTTCTTCCTAATGTTATGGTAAGATTACAATCTTTTGAAGGCTGATAATCTAATTGTGTCTAATGTATTAGACCATAATTCTTCTATGGTGTGTTTATTCTGTGTAGTGCCTTGGGAAGAGAGGAAGGAGGTATTCAGGTCAGTTGATATTTTCAATTGAATTTTGCTGTGTTAAGTTGCCGGAGGTGGTAACATTTTGATTATTTTTTATTTTTGACTTCGTTTCTTTATATAAATTTTTATGTAGTAAGGCTGCATGCTTGGCATACTTGTTGTGCTAGTTTTATTAGGATTCTGTTGCACCCATACGTTAAGAGATGGATTGCCTCAGTGGTGGACTTCCCTTCCATGAAACTGAATTGGTTCCTTGTCATCCATGTCTCATGCCACATCCTAGTCCTGATTACCGTGATAGTTTCAGCAACTCTGAGCGTTGCCTTCGTTCTTATATAGCAGCATCACTGCAATAAGCCTCCACTCATTCGGTATCCTCGCTGTCTTGAGAACAACATTAAGAGAACCACACCTGCTTCACCCAAGCACAGCCACATCTTTTGGATCTGCTTCTGTCCTACAGCCATAGCCTTGCCCATTTTCTATAGTGACACTCTCATCTCCTTGCTGATAGTGTGGCAGCTGCTGCCTTGTTACTCCTTCCACCCCATCTCCCTCTCCCTTTCCTCGTTAAAAAACGGAAGAGAATACCTACCCAATCTCCTTTTTATCTCCTCATCTGTTACTAGAACCCATGCATCCTTGTCCTTAATATACCTTACACTTTCTATGTCTCGATCCCTCCACTCCTTTGCTTTTGCTAGCTTGTATATCCCAACCTCGTGTATATCTCCTCATATGCCTTATCCTTCGCTAGATAATGTCACAACCCCCCTCCCCTGCCCCTTGCTGCTTTTGGTTTTGTCCAAAAACAGAAAAGCTGTATGCTTTCTTCTGTTTCTAAACAACATTTTGCTGTCATGATTTTTTGTTATACACCTACTTTCCATAAATTTTCTACATGCTAGCTCGTTGTTTCCTCTTAAATGCATACAATTATTTTGAGGTATTTTGGTGGCAAATGCACTTACACCCTTGTGGGAATATATTAAATGGTAGAAATAAGACATTGATTAAATTATTGATATAGCATTCCTATTCTAAATAAGATTGTTGATGCTTTTTATTGTCAGATGAATCTGGTCAAGAAGGAGAAGAGAATAATGGGACGTATCCGTGTTGGGATGATGATTGTGGCCAATTTGACGATGGAAATGCTTATGATGATGTTGAGGACTCCATCACACTTGTCTCTCAGCCCCGTCAGGTTTGTTCTTTATGGGTGTGTTTGGTACGTTGGAGTTTGGACATGACAATACAAAAACTTGTATTGTGTTTGGCATGACATTAAACTAGGACATGACAGGACCTGAGTCGGACAAAAATACATTTGTTCCACCTATCTGATCAAAATAGGTGGAACAATCATCAAGGAGACATGACAAGATTGATAAATTACTAAACTACCCATGTCAACTTAAACCTACCCGCGTCACTCTCACCTGTCTTGTCCACTTACCTCTTCAACCTAGTTGAGTGACTCTTGATCAGCTAATCATTTTGCTTTCGAGAAAGAACTCGTAATGTCATCAACATTATGAATTGATCGAGGTTATTATTTCATATGCCAAAAATAACTAATTTTTTTGCCTTTTTCATTTTATGTAAAACAGGTAAATAAGATTGAAGTTGAGTATGACAAAACATCTAAACAAGTTGATGTTCAGGCTCTCAAAGAGACTCTTTGGTCATCTATGCAAGAAACACATGGATCAACTCAAGTAAGCTCTCTTCTTCTATTCCTGCCAAAGGGATATTAGTCAACTCACAAAGATATAGTCAAGGGGATATTAAACACTTGGGGTGTGTTCGGTATGTTATACAGGACCGGGCATAACAAAACAAAAACTTGTTGTCCCACGTTTGGTACAAATTAAACTGGAACAAGACATGACTGAGTGGAACAAAAAAACATTTTTCGGTCAAATTAGAATCAGGAAGATGAGACAAGATTGATAAATTACTAAACTGTCCATGTCAAATCAAAACCATAAAAAACCTTGTACAATTCTTTCACCTGCCTACTTCAGTCTCGCTGGTTCAGCTTTGTTTGCATACCAAACACACCCTTTACTCTATGCATTGTTCTAGTTTATTCGCTGGTTCAGCTTGGTTTGCATACCAAACACACCCTTTACTCTATGCATTGATCTAGTTTATGAAATAATATGATAATCATGGAATAATGACATAGTTTTGTTGTGGAATGGTGCAGGAGACAAAGACATTGTCTTTTAAACACATATTGGCATCTTTTCCAGCTGATAACAAGAAAACGAGAGCTGCGTCTATCGACATCATCTCCCCACATTTGTGTTTCATTTGTGTGTTGCATTTGGCTAATGAGCATGGATTGAGCATCCATGGCTGTACCAACTTGGATGACCTCTCCATACACCTTCCATTTTGAATAGGGATTTTGTTTAAAACCATTTGAATAGATTTGAGCATTTGGGATTGATAGTTTTCACCGCTTATCGAGAGCTGACCCTTGACATTTGATGACAGATTTAAAAAGCCACCGATAGATGATCTTCATCTTGTAGATATCAGTACCTTTGTAACGTTTATCGGTTAATATCAACAACTATGTTATTGTTGGTTCTTTTTCTTATGTTGGAAGATGACTCCTTTGTTGGTTCTTTTTCTTATAGCGTGCTTAATTTAACTGTTATGGACATTTGATGTTTTGTTAGAAATTGTGTGCACAAATTAATGGGTCGAAGTGGATGTTTGGATGCGTATATTGTGACTACAATAACCAAAAACAGAGTACTTTTGTTCTAAAATAAATGTCAGTTTATCCTAAAAAAATGTTCACCGTCAAAAGTTAGTATCTACTTTCAACCCTTTTCTTTCCAGATTGGTTATTTTTGAAGCTTGTGGTATGAGTTTAGGAACCTTTGGAAGCATTGTTTGGTGATTTAGGAGCTACCGAGTTGAAGGTAAGATCTCTCTTCTCCAACTAAAAGCTAGGGTTTAAGTGTTCTTCATCCCTTTCTCCATTTCTTCCCATTTTGCTACAACTTTCGGAAAATTTATGGTAGAAGAAACCTTGTGGAAGTTTCGAAGCCAAGATTTGGAAAGCTTGCGAGGAGATCTCAAGTCTTCACCAATGAAGCTTAAGATTTGGGATAAAACCTAGATTTAACATATATCTAGCAATGTGAGTTCTAGTTACTTTGCAAAACTATATACATGTTAGAATATCTTAATTTTAAGCTTTGGACACACCTCTCTGGGTTATTTCACTTTTGATGAGCTTCATGAATATTTATGCATTTGTACATATTCGAGTCATGAAATCTTTAAATAACGTTTATGTTGTGTTTACTGGGTGTTTTGAGACACCGAATAAAATCTATTGCTTCAAATGAGTTTTCTTTGATATTTGAACGATTTGGGGCCAAATGTTATTTTGACTCTTGAGAATGACGCCTTGGATTATTAATGATTTCAATGGATTTGTTAAATCAGTTGAAGGGTTAATCGACTTCATTTTAGGGTAAAATGTCGTTTTGGGATTTTACCCAACTTATGAGTTTTTGGATAGTGGCACATGAGCCTTTGATAAAAATCTTCCATGGACTTTATGGGAATTTTTAAAGTACAAACCATAAGGGAATTTGTAACTATCTTTATTGAGGAAAAAAGCCTTCCAAGAAAAATCAAAAACTAGTTGAAGTAAGGTTAAGATCGTCACCGAAGCGGATTGGTTTGTCATTTGGTCGAAAGAAGATCAATACATGATAAAGTCGAATAGTAGTATGACAAATACAAGTACTAGCAAGCCAGATTTTGGAGTGCAAACTTCTCCTACAAGTTTGGTTTACTAGCTCCTCCACCACTCATCCTGGTATAGGAACACGCTCAACATGTCAGCCAAAGAAAGTTCTAGAACACTAGGTTTGTTAGAGTCATACTTTCTTTACAATAACCTCGGCATACACAAGGATGAGATACGATAACAAGTATCTACATCAACCACAAAGGCTGAAATGAAGTATCCATTTTGATAGAAATTTTATGTGATAGTTTTTTAGGCAAAATCAACGTCAATATCTGAAATACTATCTTAGTCCTTCAGATCTAAAAGAGTACCTTATTGTTTCACTCTTTCGGTGTTAACAAATTTTTCACCAGCCAGATTGTTTAGGATCATAGTTCTTACCTTCTTAATTTTCACAACAAATCTATAATTCTTTATTTTAACACAAATCATACGTCATTATATCCAAGGACCAACAAGGCTTACACTAACTTTATTTAAATAGTCAAGTATTTTATGGGGCCTTTTGGCTTGATTTTAAATCAAATGAGTTTTAGGGACATTTGTCCGATTTAAATAGCTTAATCAGAGCTTTGGACATAAAATGCATTTATTGCATATTTGCTGGATAATTACATGTTTTGAGGGCGTTTGTCATTCATTTGGACTCGTGTAACTTTAGAGTGTAATGCATTGGATTCATGGAACATAGGAGTCCGTCTTGTTGTTAAGCATGAAGATTTGATGTCCACACTTAAATCTTCTTATTCCCAAGTCCTTGGTAGAGAGCTTGTGGTGGTACCCTATAACGGGCTAGGTCTTGCAGTGGTGCTCGTTGGAGTCGTATATAAGGACCGATGAATTTTGTGGTGAAACTCATTTAGAGGTCGATTAGACACTAAGTCCGTTTTAGGAATCTTGCGATGGTACTCAATGGATTCATATACGGGGATCCATGGCCCGAGGTGAAACCCGAGAATGTTGATAAGTGGATTATTTTTGTGTTCCTATCATGTACGATGGAGTTGGGTCTCCCCGTCACCTAAAGGTACTGTTGTTTTCGGGTACTTAGTTACTTATTCTTTCGGTGTTTTGAATATGGAGTTTTATCTATATTTTCGATGTTTTGAAGTATGTGTCTTGTACACGTTTTGGATGAGTTGGTCATTGGGTACTTGATTTGGAAATAATGAGCTTTGTAAAGGTATTCCTTTAACGTGGTTTAAAGGAAAATGTTTGTTTTAACAAGTACTTGATTATAATGGGTGGTGGTTTACAGGAAAATGTTTGTTTTAATGTTATATGATAACTTTAACTCACTAGACGTTAAGCCTGATACTTTTTCTTATCAACATGTATATCAGGTCTTAGAGGGATTTGAGTGGCGTTTGAAGCTTTGTGGAAGTTTCGGTAAGATGACTTTAGAGGCGTCATCCAGTTAGTTTTAGTAACACTTGCTTGTTCTAATTCTGGTAGGGCTGCACATGGGTTGGGTTGGCCGGGTTGAAGGCATTTGAATAACCCAGCCCAATCCAAACCGTCTAGGTTGGGTTGGTCGGGTTAATCTGGTTGAATCGTTGGTACATCGTTATATAATCTAGCTAAACATTTTGTTTAAACCAAATAAAATCAAAATGAGAAAACACAAAAAAGGCTAATAAACTCAAAAAGAGGTTGAAACTTCATGCAAATAAAAAAGTAAAATTAAGGTCGAAATTGTAATATAATTTTGAATATAAGTAATTATAGGTTGGTATAATGTCTAATGTACATATATTAATCAAGGACTTGACAATCATATTTAATACGTAGTATAGAAAAGACATCGGATTCATCGGGTTGGGTTCAAATTATCCCAACCCAATAGATGCAGTTTGGTCTAGTTTTGTATCAACTATGCGTCGTGTTACATCGGATTGAGATTTTTTAAGTTTTTTTGGGTTGGATTGGTCGGTATTTGAGCCGCCCTAAATCCTGGTCGGGAATTAGATAGTATTTTTAGAACTCCGATACAAAATCATGGCCGTTTAACATAGAGATGAGACCGAGTCTTTTGAGTTCAAGATACATGAAGGTAACGTCAAGAAGCCATGTCTATGCAAAAATAGTTTTTTTTTTTAACTACAATCCTCGAGCTGCTTCAGAGACAAATCAGGTATATAATGATTTGTTAAATTATAACTATGAAACAGATGTCTCAAAGAAGCTCAATCATAAAAGAAAAATGTAACCCCAATGAATCGACAGTATAACTACCAAACTCTTAACTACCATGAATCCAAACTATGGCTACTAGACCTGATGTGTCATGTAACACCCTAAATCCGTATATTTCATATAAACCACATATTTCATATAACATGAAATACAAATATACACATTGGTCTCAATATACAAAATGCTACATACAAAAGTAGCTACAAATTTTTCATTTACATCAAGTACATGATTTGGAGACATATCAAGTTCTTAGGTACATGTACAACAACAGCTTCCCAAAAATTCACAGATGTAGAGCAATCATAATTTCCTTTGCATTTTTCCTTTCCCTTTACTCTCCATATGTGCCCGACCTCTCACATTTTTAAAACAAAATGAGGGTTAAAGCATAATATCTGGTGAGTAATCTCTTTTGATTGCTATTACAGGGTGAAAATCACCAAAAGATTATTTGAAAGCCCATAGTTGTATTTTATAATAAATAAACAATGTTTTATTGAAACGAACATCTTTGTCGCATCATATAGATGAGACAACATCATGTTATCGCATCAAACCCATTGAAGTACCAAAGTTATCGCAACAAACATAAAATATACCAACTTGTCGCATCTCATTGATGCGATTACATTTTTATCGCATCATATGTGTGTGTGTGTGTGATAATACACTTTATCACATCATATTGATGCGATTACTTTACTTTGTCGCATCACACTAATGCAATAAATACAACTTGTCGCAACTCAAGGATGCGATAACACAACTCCTTGCATCTCATTGATGCGATAACATCATCTCATCGCATCATATTGAGGTTATAAATCAATCTCATCTCATCATGAGGATGCGATAATAGTTCCACATAATCAAAATCTCATTTTTATATATAATTGATTTTGTCACCCTTATCTCAGTATACGTCTCTCCTGATTATGTCACGCTTATACAAATATACGTCTCTCCTAATTATGTCACTTTTATCCTAAAATACACATCTCCTGATTATGTCATCCTTATTTCAACCAGTTAATAATAACATATCAAAAGACCATATCATGCTAAAAATAACATATAATCCATTTCAATACACTCCACGTATATAAACAGGAAAGCATACGATTTCTTCACCAAAAGCAAATCAAATGATGTTTTTAAAGTAAAACTCACCATATAATCACAAAGAGTTCAAAGACTTTAATCAACAACAATAATCAGATAAAGTCACGTAACAACTTCTTCCTCTTACTCTTTTGTTTCCTTCGAATCCAGACAACAAATTTTCTTTTTTATCCAAAAAAAATCATCAAAGGAAATAAAAGAAGCGCGTGCACACACACATACACATATATATATATATATATATATATATATATATATATATTAAACAAGAGGCTATGTGGTATGAGATAATTTAAACCATTTTTCAAAACAACTTCTCAACTTTCAACACTTAACTAAAACAATCTTCAACACTTAACTAAAACAATCTTCAAACTTTCCAAAAAGATAACCCAGATATCACACTTCACTATTTTTTACATGTTTTGATTGGGGAAAATAACAAAACTAACCACTTTATACAACC